TAGACCGAAACGTCCGACGTTGACTTTATATTAACATTAATACAACATAATTGCATATTAAGATTTTTGTTTGTTTTCTCAAAAGAACAACTACGAAACGCTTATCAGCCTGTTATGTTTCACTTTTATCAAAGCTTCGTCATAGATTGAAGGAAAACAGACAAAAAACAGAACTTTGCTATTTTCAATTTCGTTTAGGTCGAATCCTATTTGGCATTAAAACCATAGATAATTTTGTATGTAGATAATATTGTAGAAATTCTACTATGTCGAGGCGGGCACCGAATGGTAATGTGTATTCATAATTTTGTATGTGTGTCTGTCTAGTAGGAGAAGTTCTAATGTCTTCACTTTTGTGCTGTCAGACCGCACAGTGGAGTGGTACCTATTTAATCTGGGCCTGTTTTCTTTATATACGTATTCTTTGTGTTATACAGATATAAGCTAGATTCTTTAAGAATGGATTCAAAGAAAGATGGCGATGTAATGTTATGTTTTAGACGCGTTTTTACAGTTGGTAATAATGTTATTATTAAGCTTTCAATGTATTTTCTCCTTAAATAATTATCTTCTTTTTTTTTTTTTTAAATTAGGGTGGCATTAGTAAAAATCAAAGTTCAAAGGTCTATCTTTTTCTGTTTTCTCTCAATCTCTGACGAAGTTTTAACAAAAGTGAAACACACTTGTCTTGATTGATAAACGTTTCCTATTTGTTCTTTAACTTAACATCCTGTCGAAAGCCGATCCATATTGAGACTCCATTTGATCTTTAACTCCATTATATATATATATATATATATATATATGAATAAAAAATGACAATAGGAAAACAGGTAATTGTCTTCTCTACTGGTTAAATCGGAGAAATTTTCATATATATTACAAATACAAATTTCCATAATATAGGGTTAACTTAATTAGCTATTATATTCCATAATAATCACTCCTCTCTAACTCTTCAAATGTCCAAAGTATAACTAATTCTAATTTCTATATTCCCACCTCTACAACCTCTTTACACTATATTATTTACAATTTAGAAACTTTCTCCTACTCTAAGATCTCCCCAAATCTCTTTCTATTAATCCATAAAATCCTTTTATCTATAGATTTTAAAGTTATTTTTAAACGGCTTATTCTTCATGTAACCTCAAATTAATGTCATAAGGGTAATATTCGGGTTTAATTTTATAAAACTTCTCTTTAAGACAAATACCTTCCACCCTGCACTGGCCCCTGTCTCGTGCCTTTCGTCTGACTGAAACATTGAAATGGATAAATTCTCTATTAGTTTTTCGACCATGTTTATTAGCTTTGACAGTTAAACTTTTATTTCTGACACGAACTCAGTCCACACCGTGTTGAAAAGACAGACTGTCGAAATAGGCTATTCCCCATATGAGGTGATTTTGGATTTTATTTTTTATTAATTATTTGCTCTGTAATAATAAATACATTGAGCTCTTTTTGTAAATCAGTTTTAATATTTTATATTACTAGGATCCACTTGGATTATATACCAACGGATTTGTTACCTTACTATACATACATACATACACACATTATATATATATAATTATTTATTTAAAAATATGATTCCAATTATATAAATAATTATATTTATGCTCTACTTTTGTATCGAGCACTATTTTAAAAAAATAATAACTAAAATACTAAGGGACTTTGGATTATTTACCTAACCAGTTCCTTCCTATTTTCTATATATTTTCACATATTATTATTATTATTATTATTATATATATATATATATATATATATATATATATATATATATATATATATATATATAATTAGTAGACAGACGGGGTCATTAAGGCCAGAATCATGACCTTTGCCATTGTTTACAGTACCGAGTGTTTCCAAGCGTTCCCCCATCTAAGTACTGACCAGGCTCAACGCTAATTAACTTTGTTTATCGAACCAGTGCTCCCAGTGTGATTTGACCCTTAAACTACTCGATTCATACGCGTCACAATCTCGAATTATCTAGACTCGATTCTTGTCCTTGGACCAAAGTTGTCAAATACCGAATCGACACTGTGTTGCGCTACGTATGAACGTCTATAAACAATCATGCGGGTACCTTCGGGTTTCCGGAGTCTTAAAAGCACCTCATCCGCCGCGCCCTGTTTATCGACCGTCCTCGTGCAGCGAGTGAGCAGTTATATTTTACACGCAGGCCAAATTGCAATTCTGTCTGGAATCGTTTTTTGTTGTTTTGTTAAGTTTCTGCTCCCACCCCAAATTTATTCCGTTGGCAGGTCGCCCGTTGCAAACACAGTCAACTGATAACTGTCTTAGTCACTTCTTTATCTATTCTTCATGGTTGACTTCAACAACTTAAATCTCAGTCCCTAGGTGGTAACTTGTCTGCTCTCTATTCTTAGACTGCCTCGCTTTGTCAAGTTTTGAAAGATTCTTTTTCAGTCATTTCCAAACCGAGGAAAACTAGGGCTATAATGCGTATAGAACATGAATACGAGAAGGGATCACCAACCATTTAACATTAATAGAAAAAATATCCTCACTGGGGCAAAAGAATTTTAGTTCCATTCAAAATATCCCTTGGGATTTACTTAGCCCAGTTTTCTTTCCACGTTTCTTAAACAGTCTGCAAAAGCCTTTTAAGGAATCGCCAGCTTTCAACTAGTTAGGTTCCCCTTAATATTGTTCATCGTATATTTCCAAAGAGGCAGCCATTTTGAAAGTTGATTGAAATAAGAGATAAAAACAAATTTTTATAACCTTAATTTCTAGACACGTTATAGCTTATAATTAAAACATTAAAAAAAATTCTAAAGTTAATTAAAAAATTTTGGTCGACCCCAGTATAATACAAATCGATTTTTCAACTCTATTGAACATAATTAGTGTCATATATTATTTTTGAGAACATGGATAAATTGTCCCTCGTTAGAATTGAATGAGAGTAACATGATCAGAATGCTGTCGCTCTAACCAACCAAAGTTAGTTGATACCATATAATTGTAAAAAACAAAAAACCCTAAAAAAAACAAACAAAAAAAACAAAAAAACAAAACAAAAAACAAAATAGCTGAAACCATAAGATTGCATACAAAAATAAATAAATAAATAAATAGTGATACCATATGAATGAAGACCCCCCCCCACGCACAAAAAAATAATTTAAATTTTAAGAAATATGAGAATATCTCTGCTTTAAATGATCCATGAGGGGTTGATAAGCCGTAAAACAAAATAACCAACCAACTAACCATGTGGTCACACATTTTTATGATTTTAAAACAATACTGCAATATCAGCACTTATAGTAGTAATAATAATTATATTACCAACAGCAGCTAACTCACAAACACAGCAGATCCACTTTATGTCTGTGTGTCTGTCGTATCGTCTTTCTCTTAACGTGACAAAATTCTAGCAAAGCAACTGATAAAAAAAAAGTGACAACGCTGCTTATATAATAAGATTGATAACACTTGCTACGTTAGTTGAGTGAAATAAATAAAGACCTCATGTTATCTACTGTTTACATACAGGCCGGATGCTTGTCTTATATTACAAATCATCCATAGCGCGGAATACCCACCTCTTTTTGCGGGAACTCAGAACAAACCAGAAGTCTTCTTAGCCTCAATCCAAGACAAAGCTGTTGAGCTGAGCTATATTATTTGTCTAAAATCATTACTGCTATTAATTTTAAAAATAAACAGTAAAACATATATTTTGAAAGAGGAGCCAGAAATAAGATTTACGGATCGGGGACACTAAAATCAAGCAGGTGAGGAAATTTAAATATCTGGGGAATGTTCCGACAGAGGACGGTAAGTGCGATGCCGAGATCCGAAAACTTATTGGGATGGCCAAAGACGCATTCCAAAAGCTAGACAGAGTATTACAAGACAGGAGGGTTTCGTTGATAACAAAGAAAAGAGTACTGAATTGCTACGTGATATCTGTTCTTCTTTATGGTAGCGAATGTTGGGCGGTCTCCTCAAAGATGAAGAAGAGACTCGAGGCAACGGAGGTATGGTTCTACAGAAGGATGCTAAGGATATCATGGACCGAGCGTGTGAGCAATGATGAGATTTTGGAGAGGATACAAACAAGGAGGAAGCTTATATCTAACATCAGGAAGACGCAGCTGAAATTTCGGGGACACGTAATGAGAAAGGAGGGCTTGGAAAGTGGCTTAAGCAAGTGGATGACGGGTCTGGGATAAATAACAAAAAGTCAAATCTTAGTGAGAACTATAAAGAATAGGAAGAAATGGAGAGCTATGATCACCCACGTCCTGAAAAGACACAGCAAATAAAAGGAGGAGGCTTGACTGGTGTCGAGATCTTATCAATTTATAGGTGAGCGGTCTAGATGTAACCGTAAGTTCTATGCTAACAGTTTCTTTTCTCGCACTTCTCGTTTGTGGAAGTTCCTTCCGGCTTCATGCTTTCCAGCGAACATTAATTTGCAAAAATTCAAATGCAATGTCAATCGCTATTTACTGCCCTCTTGATTACTGTTTTCTCTTTCTGCATATTATTAATATTTCTGTTTCTAATTCTTCCACGCCCTGTAACCCTTTGTGTCTTAGTGGCTTTATTGCCTTGCATGGGGTGATTCCGATTAACAAGTTTGGGTCTTTTATTGGATGAATACTTAGTAAAAAAAATAATTAAAAAATGAATGGCTTACAGTAATAATAAGGCAGATTATTAATGCTTAACAAAACACAGTCCATTACTGAAATTTAACATATTTAAAGGTAAGCAGATTTTGTAAAGAACGTGCTCAATATTAAAGAAAAATATAGATACAGTATTTAGTAGATTAATCAAAGTTAAAAATTTATCTTCCAGCTAAAAGTTTCACAGATACACCGTTCGTCAGAATTGGATAGATCTATACATTTATTTGCTCCTAATGAACAGTGTATTTTGCGAAACGAAGTTGGAATATAAGTTGTCTTGCCTTTTAGAGTATTATTTTTATTTTAATTCTAAATGAGAGAGAGAGAGAATGAGAGATAAAGAGTGAGAGAGAGAGGTGATTTTGAGAGAGTGAATGAGAGATAAAATAAATGAGAGAGAGAATGAGAGAGAGAAAGAGAGAGAGAGAATGAGAGAGGAGAGAGAGAGAGAGATGAGAGAGTTTTAAGAGAGAGAATGAGAGAGTGAGAGAGAGAGAGAGAATGAGAGAGGAGAGAGAGAATGAGAGAGAGAGAGAGAGAGAGAGAGAGAGAGAGAGAGAGAGAGAGAGAGAGAGAGAGAGAGAGAGAGAGAGAGAGAGAATGAGAGAGAAAGAGAGAGAGGAGAGAGAGAGAAAAGAGGGAATGAGAGAGAGAGAGAGAGAGAGAGAATGAGAGAGAGAGAGAGTGAGAGGGAATGAGAGAGAGAGAGAGTGAGAGGGAATGAGAGAGAGAGAGAGGGAATGAGAGAGAGAGGGAATGAGAGAGAGAGAGAGGGAATGAGAGAGAGAGAGAGGGAATGAGAGAGAGAGAGAGGGAATGAGAGAGAGTGAGAGGGAATGAGTGAGAGAGAAAATCTCCCTTCCTTTTGTAGTGCTGAATAGTACGTCATCTAGCGGGCGTCCTGACAGGTAATTAAACTTTTGCATAGTGTAATTTCTGGCTTTTTTTAGAATTTCTATTAGAAATAATAATTTAAAACTACTTCTGCTGGTGAATTAAATCTACTGAACGGTAAAGAATCAAATGATTGACGACCTGTACAGTAACATTTATCAGTAACTTATGTCAAATATGACACTTCAGCTACGCAAGAAAAGATACAGATTGAAAGTTACGAAACAAGGCCGCTGGTCTTAATACAGATTGTTTATCCTTAGCCTTTGAAAATGATACCGGAGACCCCCGCCCCCCGCCTAATTTCAAATGCATTGCATTGTGAAAACGTATTCTCAACGCTCGGTTCAATGACATCTGCTCAAAGTTCTTAAGTGGTACCCCAACAGCTTCAAGATTGTTCTTCACCTTTTCTTTATAGCTGAGCCATGGTCGGGGCTACGTTTCTTTTACCGTTGTGTATCTAACTGCCTATACTTAAAGGGATTTTCATATCTGTTCGTTCCATCGTGTCGCACGGAAAACAGTTTTCTACGTGCTGCTAGTCTTTTTGAAAGTCTTCAATAAATAATGCGATAAACACCGACATGATAATTGCCTACTAAATTTTCCCATCACCTATGCCATCTTCTGGTTTTTATATATATATATATATATATATATATATTGAATTTTGAATGTTTCAAATGTATAAACACTAAACACTATTTTCGAAATGTTTAGAAACAAAGGTATTTCCACAATTTTCTTTCAAGGTTATGATCGACTCACTCTCTCTCATATATATATATATATATATATATATATATATATATATATATATATATATATATATATGTGTGTGTGTGTGTGTGTGTGTGTGTGTGTGTGTGTGCCAAAATCATTACCGTGAAATTTAGAGAGCACAAGTAAAAAAGCTACACAAGCTAGCATTTCAGCTCAGAACAAACCCTAGGTTCAATCTTAGGGTGCAGCTTATTCAAGTCAAAGACTTGTGGCTTAAAAAATAGCTCTTTGGTCAGATCCTTACCTACGGAATAAAACCAAGGTTGTAGCAGGAAGCAAATTTTGTTTTGGTCGCAACCTTCTGCTATAGACGAGCGAGACAGAGGCGAGGGGGAAATCAGTCTAACGAGCGGGTCTTCCTTTTCGCGTTGGGGCGAGTGGTTTTTCGTTTCTCTCTGTGAGTCTCCCTGTTTTCGGCTGCTAATGGTCACTGTCTTATAGAGTACAGCGTTTTTCCCTTGTCATCTTTGTCTAAAAATTTGTAATTTATTAAAAACCCAGGATCTTGTTCCACTCAATGACCTTGCTTATCAAGGTCATTTGGTTCTGGTGAGATCTCCCACCACTTAGCTGAAAATCATCAAGGCAATAACTGTCGAGACAGTTCCTGTAACATCTTTCAGATGTTTTCATTTAACAAGAAATCGGCTGGCACTAATTTCGCTACAGCGAGAAAAAATCTAAAATCTGATAAGAAATCTTCAGAGACGTGCCTTAATACTTTCGCAACGGGTAAGTTTCATGCTATGGCGATAATTTCACATGGAATGAGAGATAATGCAAGAGAAATGTCAAGCTAGCAAAAGAGGCCATATATATATATATATATATATATATATATATATATATATATATATATATATATATCTTAAAAATATAGTCTTAAGGTATGCTATATATATGGGATAAAGTGCTCAATATCAGAGATAGAGCGTGTGTAAAAATAAAAGTGAACATAGAAGTCAACATTAGAAGTGACAGTCTGTTTCATGAAACAGACTGTCGCCTCTAAGTGTTGACATCCATGTTCACTTATATATATATATATATATATATATATATATATATATATGCATACATTTTTGAATTTGTAGGTCTGATGAATTTGATCGTGATTACGATTCCAATGTAATAAATTATAACCATGGAATATTAGTGTACGAGCCTTTTTTTTATTATATTCTTACTCTGTCCTGGACATTGAGTTCTACCTCTTGGAAAATTATATATATATATATATTGACCAGGGATATTATTATATATTGCCCACTGATATTATTATTACAATATATATATATACCAGTGATATTATTATTATTATAACATATATTGACCACTGATATTATCATTAATATATATATATATATATATATATATATATATATATATATATATATATATATATATATATATATATATATATATATATACATATACCAGTGATATTATTATTATTATAAATATATATTGATATATTATCATTAATATATATATATATATATATATATATATAAATACCAGTATATTATTATTATTATAACATATATTGATACTGATATATATATATATATATATATATATATATATATATATATATATATATATACCAGTGATATTATTATTATTATAACATATATTGACCACTGATATTATCATTACAATATATATATATATATATATACCAGTGATATTATTATTATAACATATATTGACCACTGATATTATCATTAATATATATATATATATATATATATATAGATATATATAGACCAGTGATATTATTATAACATATATTGACCACTGATATTATCATTACAATATATATATATATACCAGTGATATTATTATTATTATAATATATATTGACCACTGATATTATCATTACAATATATATATATATATATATACCATATATTATCATTATAATATATATATATATATATATATATATATATATATAGACCAGTGATATTATTATAATATATATTGACCACTGATATTATCATTACAATATATATATATAGACCAGTGATATTATTATAATATATATTGACCACTGATATTATCATTACAATATATATATATATTGACCACTGATATTATTATTACAATGTGTGTGTGTATATATATATATATATATATATATATTTGACTAGTGATATTATTATTATATATTGACCACTGATATTATTATAACATATATATATATATATATATATATATATATATATATATATATATATATATATATGACTATTGACCACTGATATTACTATTTATTATAATATATTGGGAAAATTAAGGACAAAGTCGAAAAAGTATTCATAGCGACGTGTTTAGTTCTTTAGGACTTAATCATGATAAAATGATTTTTACGTTGATCTAAATACACTTGATGATGAAAGGAGCTATATATATATATATATATATATATATATATATATATATATATATATATATATATATATATGTATATGTATAAATTTAAATGTAAAGAAAATAAATTTAAAAGATTTTTTTTTTTTTAAATTAATCCAACCGATTTTTACTACTCAAGGTTAGTTTTACTAGATACTCGTATTTCAAAAAAAAAAAAAAAAATAAAAAAATAAAATATAAAAATAAAATAAAAAAATACTATAAAATAGCCACAAATCTACATTCGGATGCACAAGTATTCCTACTCAATAATCCCTAGAAGAATTTGAAACAATCGATACCGCATCACTCAATAACAGTTAGATTAATACAACAGACCGAACAACTATATACCATTGACCAGCATATATCAATAGACGAACCAAAGCACAATATACATGGCCTGAAGATTTCGTTTAAGCATGAAACAGACTGTCACTGTTGGGTCTTGACACACACAATATATATATAAAAATTTTTTTATATAGACAAAAATAATTTACTCAATACAGATTATATATATATATATATATATAGTGATACAAATATAAAATTTGTCTCAAGCGATTTTGTAATTGTTCGGTCCACTCGTCAGGAGATATTAGCAAACGTCTGTCAATAATTTTCTGACTTTCGTTATTTTATATTAAGTTAAAAAAAATATGCGATGTTTATCGGTGTTGGGTTGAGTTTTCTTCTTTGTGTGTGCTCCTGTACTTATATATATATATATATATATATATAACACTGGAAAATAGCTACATTGCCGCTGTTATTTACATTACCTTCAATAAAACTGTAGGATCAACATATATGTATGTCATAGACATGTTAAATCTCAATGATGTAGATACAAGTTAACTATACCATTTTTGTTCATTTATTTTAAGCAAATAATGGTAATCTGAAAGAAAGCTACACTGCTGAGAAGCTGATTGGAGGAAAAAATCCAAAAGGGACCAATCATTAACGACTTTATCTGCTCTCATTAATTAAATGCATGTTTCGTACACCATTTTTTAGGTACGTGTTGGTAAACTAGAAGGAGGGTGTCCAGGTAGCGTAACGGATATCGACCTGGAAAATAGAATCGGCGAATAGGGTTCGAATTCCAGGGTAGTTTGTTGAGATAAATGCGTCTTTTCTTCCTACCATCGAACTATGGTTAAATTAATAGAATAGACTGGGTTCTCTAGGCTTGAATGGCAATCAGTCTAAGAGAAGGAATAGTTCTTAAGTCAGACCGATGAGAATTACTCTGTCTTTCCCAATAATGCATAGCAATTCACATATGACGAAGAGGAGGAATATGTGGAAAGTCATGATTACCTGTAAGGATGGGACATTAAAACAAACATGTCTACTACTCAAACACACTAAATATAATGTTTATAATGACAAAGTAACGATTATATATTTATTCAAACCATTTTCCTCTTTATATAAAAATCCCCAGAAAACCGGTTCAAATAAATGGTTAATTAATGAATGAATTAATAAAATAGCGTGGAATATGGCTTTAATCATGCTGTCATTTACATCATACTTATTATAAAACCCAGGTTGTGTGTGTGTGTGTGTGTGTGTGTGTGTGTGTGTTCGTTTATATATTGGATCGCATTTCCTACATTTTTCAACCGATTTCAACAAAACTTCACAGGACTACGTAAAATTACCTTGCGGTGGTTCTGACAGTGCCAAAAATTGGAAAAACACAATTGTTTTTGAACGAAATCAATTTGAAAACACAATTAAAGCATCGCAGTTTCGAGAAT